TAGTAGAAAAATAACTTCAATCGATATTTATGTTAGAATTAGCTGTAGCCCGCGACGCCGACCGCGCGGAATTAAAAAAAAATAGTAGTCTATGTGTACTTTCAGACTATGTTATATATGTGTGCCCAATTTCATCTAGATCTGTTCAGCTGTTCTGGAGATATCTTCAAACATCCATCCATCCATCCATCCATCCATCCATTTAAACAGTCGCATTTATAATATTAGTAAGATAAGATTTCAAATAAATAATGAGTCAATTGTACATTCTTGGACGCCAAAAATCTGAATCTGAACTTTAACAGAAAAACAACACAATTTCTTATCGTTAAAGGTCTGCGTCATACGTCTTCAACGAAGGACTTAGAGCTTACCCAATTTTACTATGCCATAATCAACCACGCTGTCCCAATTCATATTGGTTGACTATAGTCTAAAGATACCCTTGTTTATATTTCCAGGATCGTTGCGAGCGTATCACAGAACAAATAAATATAGTAGCTGAAGAGAAAATCAATGCTATACTCGAAGCTAAAGGAAATTTACTACAAGAGGCGTCGGAGCTTACCAAAGCGGGTGACATGTCTGCACTCGCGCTTCAGTCTTCTTTGCAAGAAGCAAAGGAAGTGGCCACTAAAGCAATGACTACTACAGAAATTAATGACGATAATGATAAGGTACAGTAACATTTAAAGGAATGTAATCTGTTTGTAAACTAATTTAATTCTTTAAATACTTTACCTTCCAATCGATTCATAAGGTCGATTTTCATGTATTCATCCAATGGTCGGTTTAATTGGAAAGGGATTGAATATGTTTATTGACATTAGGCGAAAGGGTAAAGATGAGTTCTCACTAAACTTGACTTATCAACTTAGAAGATTTGTACTCACAATATTTAACTAGGCTTTCTAGCTTTGATTATCTCTCTAAATTAGTTATCGATCAGTATATTTTAAACAGGTAACGACATTTATAAATCTCCATCAAAACGCCCTGCAACTCTTGACAGAAGTGTCCAAATGGGACGCCAATCGTTTTGTGTTCGACAAGGAAAATTTCTGCATAGAGTCGGACGCCGCGACGCCGCTGGATGCTGAGTCTGACGATCCTCTCCCAGAGGACGCCAAACACAACAACCCACTTGAGAACGAAGACAGTTTGACACTTTACTACAGGTTCGGTCATTTAATTCCTTTAATGTAAGCGAATTTTATTCATACTGTCATTCCTTGCTTTCGTTTTGAAAAAAACAGAGACCACTATATTTCCGTGCGATCCTTGAGACACAATGACCACACTAAAAGGAGTGGTTATAAGTCGTAGTATTTTGTGTCTATTTGATTTTCGCCATTTTAGCGCTGATGGTAACTTTTTGTATCGGGGATGTGTTCGAACTAATAATATAGATAGAATTAACTGCCGCATAACATCAACAGGCGCGTTTATATCGGAAAGATGCAAACACTGCAATTTACAAGCAATCGCCTATCTATTTATAGAGATTAATATGTCTGACGAGCTGGTCTTTTTATCCAAAGGTCTCGTAACTTCACACCGCATTACGTATGGCGTAAGACGGCACGTCCCTGCGGGGTCGGCATCGGGCCGTGGAGCGAGCATCTCTACATCTGTGCCACAGACAGCCACAGCGTGCTGGTGGTGGAGCGAGCACAGGCCCGCACCGTCATGCGACTCTCCTGTGAGGACATGCTGTGTCCTGTACACATTGCATTCCTCAAGAACTTGGGAGAGATATACGTTACAGGTAATTATTACTGTGCTTATTTCCAGCTCTCCGTGGACTAACACGACCGTAATTCGGGACTAAGATAACGCGTTACTTTTTTTTTGTGTTACTTAACCTGAAGACCACGTGTTTTAGTCTTGATTACATCACCGCTGTGGTCGGCGACTCCATCTTCGCGGAATTAAAAAAAAAATATAAGTAGCGTATGTGTTCTTCCAGAATGTGTTCTACATCTATGCCATATTTTAGTAAGTAAGATATCTTCAAACTAGCATCCGTACATACGTCCATCTAAACAATTGCAACTATAACTCATCGCCCATAACTTAGGGTAGGCTCCGAGCCCCTCGGTGGGAACGTATAGTGAGCTGATGATGATGATTGCAAATATTTATTTAAATTATTGGACCTCCTATGCCTTCAATTTTATCGTAATGCACCAGGGCAACATAAACTTTATAGGGGGTCTTAATAATTATTTCCATTGTTTAGATTGTGAAGAAATTGTGCCATTTTGTAGATAAATGGAAGCACTGTATCCACGTGTTCTCGAAGGATGGCGAGCACTTGCGGTCTCTAGGTCAGAAGGGCAGTCGTGTGGGACAGTTTCGGTCTCCCGAGGGCATCGCAACAGACAGCGCGCAGCAGCTGATATACATCGTCGACACTGGCAATGATAGAGTACAGGTACGAATTAACCCACTCCTCGTTGCTTTTGAAACCAAAATTCCAATATAAAACATATCCCACTTCCATCCCTCTTTTGTCAAAGATAAGGAGAAGGATGACGATATGTTTTGTATGGGAGTTTTGGTCTCAGAAGCCAACGATAAGTCTGATGTATTTAATGTTTTATATTATTAAATAGCGAACGAGAAGAGCTAGAATCGCCGAAATAGCGAAGCGACCGCTGCCCACAGAGAATTTTCCCTTCTTATACGTCCTCTCCTCCATCAAATATACTACCCTTCCCATCTTTTCGCGGAAGGGGAAAACGCGTAACTGCCTTCAAGCGTTTCTGTGTGGTTGTGGTATTTCACCGGTCGATCTAGCCGTATATGTAAGAATTTAAAAGAGTTCATGTTTTTTTCTAGATCCTCCAACCTGATGGTAAATTTGTCGATCAAATAGGAGTAGCAACAAAGCAGCAATCGTCTAATACAGCTAGCGTTTGGGATACCAAAGAAATTCTATGCACGGAACTGAACGCTCCCACCGCCGTCGCTATCTCAAATGATCGAGTTATCGTATTGGACAGTGGGAATCGACGGGTTAAAGTCTATAACAAACAGGATAAAAGCAAAGTTTTGGAATTCGGTTCTTTAGGTCAAAGGAAAGGGCAATTCAGACAACCGGAGGTCCTAGCTGTTGACCCTTTAGGTTTTATTCTGGTAGGAGATTCAGGTAATTGTAGGGTACAGGTGTTCAAACCTAACGGTCAATTGGTCAGAGTTTTCGGTAGATTGGGTACCGAAGCTGGTAAATTCGGATGGATATCAGGTATCCATGTTACAAAACAATTGGATATCATTGTAAGCGATACTAAAAATCATAGCGTTAATTTCTTTTAAATAAAACCACCAATGTAACGTTATTGTTTTTTAATTAAAATAAAATGTTATTAAAAAAAAACACATCACTGGTTTATTGAGTGCAAATAATTTTACAATGAAAATATTTTTCACATTAAATTTTTATATCACAAAAACAGACGTAATTTTATAATGTTTATATAATTAAAAATGATATGCAATATATTAAAAGTAAGAAAATTTAAATCAATGATTTATGTAATCTATGCTTTATTTTTAATTTCATAGCAAAATTACTTTACCTATTTGCTTATTGACCTCTATAAATGGACTGGCTATAAGACCTAGTACTTTGTGCCGATTTGATTTTAGCCATTTTGGTACTAATGGTAACGCTTTGTAGATTAACTGTACGAAATATCAACAGGCGCGTTTTAATCGGAACGAAACAGAAGTTGTAGTTTCCTAGCAATCGCCTATCCATTTATGAAGACCAGTGTTTTTTTTTCATTTTGCTTATTCTATGGAATTGAATTGAGGTTATAAAAATCTAAAAGCTTCTTTTTATAAAATATAATTAGTTATTTTTAATTCATAAGATTCACAACGGACCCGTTTTTAGCTATTTTTTGCTATGAAATTTCTTAATATTATGTTTTAATAAAGCTGATACTTAAAACTATATGATAGAGTATTACATAGGCCTATGTTATATCAAAAACGAAAAAAAAACAAAAGTAATATTCAAAGAAAAACCTAGATTAAATAATCGATAACATCGACTAGATCTAGTTTGTTTAAAAAACTATTTTAACATTGTAGAAAAAAACATACATGTTTAATATAATAGAATATTTATTACAATGTTATGAAAGTTGCTTATATCAAATATACAGAAAATCAAGTATAATACAAAAAAATATATATCACAAATGTGATGTAATTGACTGACAAGAAAAAATAACTGACATTTTAACGGCCATTTCAATTTAGAATAAAAACATCCAAATTCAAATATCATATTCCAAGACTGGTTTTTTAAATGTAAAAAATTAAAAAAAAAAACAAGATAAAAGCGCCAAAAATTCATATTTCTATTGTAATGGATACATTAAAAATGACTACATGAGAAAAAAATCTGTAATTCTCTGAAGTAATTAATTAAAAAAATATATTTTAATCAAATTGTTAGTTTGTTTGTCGATTTTGTGACTTGACAAAATGAATATTATATTTTTAAATTAAATTCATTGAAATATTTGTTGCTATTGTGAGTTTTGTTATTTTAACATATGGCTTAACTCAGTCTCGATTGGCTAGTTTTAAAAAAAAATATTTACAATTATTTACAAAATTGAGATTAAAAGTCACAAAATTAAATGAATGAATAAAAGAATAAAAATAAGCCAAAAATTACTATTTTTTGCAACAATTTTTTTTTCATTAAAATCTCATTAAGTTATAACTTTTAATACTTTTCAATTGTTTTCTTGATTACTTTTAAAAAGCAACATTGATAAAATCCTTTTTTGTTTAATAACCTTGAGTAACCAAATATAACAACACTGGCTATAAATATTGATTGTTGTCAACATTACAGAATAATTCGACTATTGTTTTATAATGAAATCTACAACAAATGTATTTTCAAATAAGAAAATGATTTGAAAAACATTTTGAGAGATAATTAGTACATAATGTACATAATTTAATTTTTACAATGTCAAAACTTAGTAACACTTTTTTTTTACTAAATGTAATCATATATATCATAAAAGAGATCTTGTTTACAAAATCTTATGAATGAGATTCAATATAAAGTTCAAACATAGAATATTTAAAGGCTCAATGGTGATAACTTTATAAAACTTCAATAATATACATAAAATTCTCTATTTTTTATATAAAGGAAAGGGGCAAACAAGTGGACGGAACACCGTGGTGGACCATCCATGGACATCTGCAACACCATAGAATCTACAATTGGGTTGCTGGCCTTTTAAATATATTCTCTAATTATATTGTATATTTGACTACATCTATTATATTATTTAATGAAAAAACACCAATATCTGTGAAATTTCATATTCATCAAACATTAAATGTGTCAAAACTTGAAGTTGACAAGACCATAACTGTGTATTAACATTTGTACGCAATCAGTGAAGAATATTCAATATCTAACTTTACTATGTTATTTCATTTAACTATTGTATAAAACTTATAAAGCTCATTACTTGTGACTGTTGTAAATATTTACATAGCTAGAAAAAAAAAGATATTCTGTTGATTATATCAATTATAAATACCAGGCAAGACTACTATGATGATCTGCAAGGTTGACACCTGCTGATGGAATGGCTATCACCAAGAATAACCGAGTCCTGATCTGGAGGTGGTCCTTCACTCTTGTCATGTTGTCTCTGAAACATAACAATAAAGATAAATTATCTGTTATTAACCTTTACAATAATAAATTGTTGAGTCACATCATTGACACACATGACTGCCAGATTAAATGAACATACACAAAGGATAATATAACACTAAATCTATCTATCTTACTAATATTATAAATATAAATGTTTAGATGGATGGATTTTTATTTAAAGGTATCTTCAGAATGACTCAATGTGTCTTAATGATATTTGGCATTGATGTAGAACATAGTCTGGAAGAACACATAGGGTACTAATTAAGTTTTTTATTTCACACAAATTCCTAAACAATTGAACAGAACTTGAGAAAACTTTTATAGGATACTAGGTGTCGGCCACATCTCCATCTGGGCGGATTAAAGAAAAATTTATCAGTAATCTATGTGCTCTTCCAAACTATGATCTATAATATATGTATGCCAAATTTCATATAGATCTGTTGAGCCGTTCTGGAGACTCCTTCAAACACACATCCATCCATTTAAACTTTCGCATTTATAATATTAGTAAGATTTTAAAGACCACAGAATGTTTGTGCCTTAAATTATTTAACTCTGATGTTAATTTATCTATATTATTGAAGCTATCATCATTTTCAGCGAGTTTTATTAAATGTAATCATAATAATGTTAAAAAAATTACCTTTAACTCTGTAGCCAAGCTACGGAATGTGTCTTCAACATTAGTATTATCTTTAGCTGATGTTTCCATTACAAACATTATCTCTGGTACATATCGACAGAAGGATTTAGGTTCATCTTGTTCTACTTCCCGCTGGTCTGTTAGATCACACTTGTTGCCAATGAGTGACACAATAACATTAGACGAAGTGTACCTTCGCACTTCTTCAATCCATTTTTGTAATGACAAAAATGTGGACCTCTTTGTTATGTCATACACTGAAAAAATTATGTTTATCTAGTTACAAAAAAATTGAAACATGGTTATTTTAGTTCTTCCAATTTAATAGGAAAACACTATTTTTATAACAATTTGTAGATGATTACATGTTATTACATAAACTACATAAATTTTACCTGTGTATGAGTGTTTTATATGGACTGTTTAACATTTATCTAATTGCCCAGTAATTTAAACAATTATTGCTTTTCGAAACTGCGTAATATTGACAGTAATAGTGTTAAGCTTTGCCAGATTTGTTAAGAGAAGGTGATGCCCAATACGTGAATTTTCATATAATTTTTACAATAAGGAAGTGTACTTTATTTAACATACCTATAATTACTCCATTTGCTGAGCGATAATAACTTTGAGTAATTGTACGAAACCGCTCTTGTCCCGCCGTATCCCATATTTGAAGCTGTTTAAAAATCATTACATTTAAATATAACTCTCCTTATATTCTAAGTAACAAACTATTAGTCCACACAAACCTTGACCCTCTTTCCGTCGACAATTAAAGTTTTCATAGAAAAGTCTACGCCTATTGTATTTCCGTGCCTTTCAATAAAATTTCCGGATTTCAATCGTTGCACAATACATGTTTTTCCTGTACCACAATCACCGATGAGCACAATTTTGAAAAGGTAATCGAACTGTTCGTCAGGAACACTCATTAAAGTATTTGGATTTCGGTTACTCATGATTAAAATTTGATTATTTTTTTTAAACTTATGTTTACGTTGTTAGCCTGACAACCATTTCTGATTTTTGACATAATGTTTTCTTCAGAAAAAAACATTTATCCCGCGTAGGCTTACGGCCATTAAACCAATTGTTTGTAAAAGCCGTTTAAATTATGTGATACTAAGATAATTGACATAAAGCTTTGGAAAATAGGAGAAAAATGAAAACTAAGATGATGATCATTTCTTTTCCAAATTTCAAAATTATTTAAAAATTAAACGAACCAAATGACCAGGGATAATAATTTTGTTGTTGTCTATCAGTTTGACAATGACAGTAAGCCAATTGACAGTTGATTTTATTAGTTGATAATGAAAATTGATTTCTTTTCAATTCAAAACTGTTTTACTTTTCTCTTAAATAAATAACAACAAATAGAGTTATCGTATTTCACAGTATTCACTATGAATAAGATTTTTCTTCTTCTATCCTTCAAATTATTGATATGTTTTAGTAACTCAGTGGAGGTAGTACAAAACTTATACGAATTCTTTTCAATGTTTAACTTTGTGTAATATGGAATTCAAATATTTCAGATACCAGAAGAATTTCAAAAATCAAATCATACAAATAATTGGGCCGTTTTAGTTGATACATCTCGTTTTTGGTTCAATTACCGGCATGTAGCGAATGTTTTATCAATTTATCGTAGCGTGAAGCGTCTTGGAATACCGGACAGTCAGATTATTTTGATGATTTCCGACGATATGGCTTGCAATCCTCGTAATCCACGACCTGCGACAATCTTCAACAATGCTCATGGACAGATCAGTGTTTACGGAGATGATGTAGAAGTGGACTATAGGGGTTATGAAGTGAGTTCCCATTTACATTTTAAGTCCACCTTAATCTTAATAATTAGTATGGGAAATCTACATTTACAGTCTCTCTTAGTGTCCAATAAGCTTATTTGAATCTTATTGCAGTTCATCAAAGGCCTGTAATCATGTATATTTTGCAAATTTGTTTAAAACCTTTTTGCTTCAGGTGACTGTAGAAAATTTTATTAGATTACTGACAGGTCGAGTTCATCATGATACACCAAGGTCTAAAAGGTTGCTCACTGATGAGGGTAGTAATATACTTATTTATTTAACTGGTCATGGTGGTGATGGGTTTCTGAAATTCCAAGATTCAGAAGAAGTTACTAGTCAAGAACTGGCTGATGCTTTGGAACAAATGTACCAAAAGAAAAGGTAACATAGTTGTGTTTAGTATTTATTTTTAAAATATTATACAGTTGAAATTGAACAAGCAAGAAACCTCTAAAGTGAGAGTCATTGTCAGTTCCTGGCGAACAACCTTCCATAAGTTAGAAACTCAGGGTAAGAGAGAAACCTATATATGCAGGAAAAATATTTCTGTCCTTTAGACTCTTGTTTATCCAGATTCAACTGAATTAAAAAACAGGATTTTTTATAGAAATGGTTCATGACACAATTTATGGCATAGGTTCATATTGTGCTTTTAAATTTATATGTGCATTTTGTTTCAGATATAATGAAATATTCTTCATAATAGATACATGTCAGGCATCATCTATGTATGAGAAGTTTTATTCACCAAATATTTTAGCCACTGCTAGTAGTTTAGTCGGAGAGGACTCTTTATCTGTAAGTAGACAAGAAAATCTTACTTCTTACTAATGTCATAAATGCAAATGTTTGGATGGATGGATGTTTGTAGGTACCTTTAGAAAGGCTCAACAGATCTCTCTAAAATGTAGCATAGATGTAAAACATATTCTGGAAAAACATATTGGCTACAAGAGAAGTTTTTTTTAATTCTGCACGGATGTGTATCCTATTAGTTGCTTGAAAAATAAAATAAACTGTGAATTCCAATTGTTTTTAAAATCTTGTTACCTTTGTCTTTTTCTAAGAGACAGAAGGTTGGGAAGATTGTTGTTACACATGTGTTATACAAATGGAAACTCAAGACATAAAGAATTTAATTAGGATGTTTTAAAAAAAACATGAATTTAATTTTTTTTATTCTATAATAATTTTCTTTATTTCCAGCATCATGTTGACTATTTAATAGGTGTGTACATAATAGACAGATATACATACTTTGTACTAGAATTTCTGGAAAATGTACATCCCAATAGCAAGAACACTATGTCAGAGTTTGTAAGTATTAATTTATAATCATCAGCTCACTATACGACCCACCCGAGGGGCTCGGAGCCTACTTTAAGTTAAGGGTGATTAGGCCATAGTCAACCACGCTGGCCAAGGGCGGGTTGGTTGACTTCACACATATCTTTGAATTTCTTCTCAGATAAGTGCAGGTTGCATCACGATGTTTTCCTTCACCGTTAGAACGTCGGATAAATGTACATATGTAAATCGAAAATCGAAAAACACATTGGTACATGGCGGGATTCGAACCTAGGACCTGCAGATTGCAAATCAAGTGCTTGACCACTGAGCCATTGACACTATAATTTTTTCTATTAAATATATAAATATAAATTAATCTACTTTCTCTTATTATTCTAATGACTTCCACTCTTTTAATGAAAAATAACAATTTTTTAGTATATTTTAAATTTTTTTAGTTAGCGGTTTGCCCGCGAAGTGCCTGTCTGTCTACAGTTGGGGTCAGGAAAGATTTGTTTAACCGAGACCCAAGCAAAGTACCAATAACAGACTTCTTTGGGTCAGTACGACCTGTTATTATTACAAGAAAGCCTATTGAAATATTAGAAATACCAAAGAGAAAGAAACAAGCCCCAGCAGAGTAAGTAAAATTTTTTTACATTTTAAAATTTTTCAAAAAGACACCATGAAACAGCAATAGTATTTAAGTGTTGTGATTTTGAAAAATCAACCATTTTTAAATTAATTATTTTTACAGGAACAAGACCAAAATAGTAGAAAAGATGAGTTACCTACCTCAGTTTCCAGTGCATTTAGTACAAACTACATAATGTAATAAAATTATGAATTAAAAACGTTAATTTATTAATTTTTTGTTTTCTTTCTCACATTTAAATTTATAATATTATAAATATTTTTTTATTAAAAAAAAGGTATGAAAAAAAAGCAGTCTTACTTATTACTAATATAAATGCGAAAGATTAGATGGATGAATGTAAAGTATCTCCGGCTCAACGGATCTTAACATGTGTTAAGTTACGCTTATTATATTTTCTTTAATTCTGCGCGATCAGAGTCGCTGGCGACAACTAGTAGGGGTGTGGCGAAAAACCACGTAGCCAAACTTGCGATCCGTCATTGGCGCGAAAAACGAGGGACCCATGACAGAGCGCGAGTTTGGCTACGTGGTTTTTCGCCACAGTAATAATGACACACATTTTCACAGTATTAAACTTTTTATTTCTCTATAAGTACTAAGAATAAAATTTTAACATTATGTAAACACAACCGATCATTACAGTTGTAATATAGCAACAAGTTCACACCGCATTCATCTCACGTCATGATATGAGATCATATTCTACAGGACTATAGCACCAATTCCGTTACTATCATAGGCCATTACTTTTTGGTCTAGTATTCGATTCATAACTATGTAGGTTCGTATCTCTAACTAATCGATTTCCTACACCAATCGAAGTAAAATAGTACACGCAAAGATTTTTTTTCTAAATTCAATATTTTTATTACTTTGTTATTTGGGTTTTCTTTGATTAAACGATGTCAACTTTTATAATAGTTTTTTTTTATTTTAGACGTTAAGCTTAGGCATAACTTTAATTCGTTAAACTCTTATGTTTGAACATAATTACCGTTCAGTTTTCATCACATTTCTAAACAATTAACTGTCCTTTAAGATTTTTATTCCCCTATAATTTTTAAAGAGAAACAATTATTGGAATCGAATACAGTGCCATCCAAACTTTTTGGCGGTTCTCAGTTTTTTACGAGACTCTTCGCATAATACAACATATGAAATATTTGTATACACTTCCCTCCAATCGCTGCAACTCGAAGCAAATCACAAGCCGCCATAAAATTTGAATCTTGTAATACTTTCATTCGTTTTCCAAAACAAAATTGCCTTTATAAAAATGATTTGATCGCAACATTTGATTTTTTTCAAAGGTGACTTATTAAGCTACAAATGTATTTAAATTAGAAGAGCTTGATTTAAAACTACGACTAGTTCATAGAACAGTACTAAAAAAAAATCTCTTTTTAACAACTAACCATCTATAAATTAATAACATTAAGCATAATATTTAACGCTGTTTTAAATAATTTTCTCTAGTAAATTCAAAATACTCATACATTCCACACATACACATTCATACATCTAACGCATATTTTGATAAAGATAATATTAATATTTCTTTTAGATTTTTGGTAAACTTGCAACACCGAAATACCATAAATTCATGTCAATGTCATATCGATATTTTGGTAACTTTATATTACTCTAAAAAAATAACTTTCTAGACGCATAATTAATAATTTGTCTATACACTAGCACGCAATTATTTACTGTACATAGGTACATAAATATTTTATACCAATGTACAATTTGTGCGATACATACTTTTATTAAACATTAAACATTTTTTTTTGGAAAACATTCATTTGTTCGTAAAAATATATATCATATACTTTGTTATTTCCTATTTTATATTTTGTACTTATGATTAATTGTTTTTATTGTGTACGTGAGAAGCCTCAGACATAAGAAAAAAAAATAAAAACAGCAATATTACTGTTAAAATCACAAATGACAAGTTTTTTTTTTATTAAAAAATTTAAGATAAGTTGCCATTGGTTCCACGCTTTTTGACCTTGAAATTTGAAGCTTTTCATGTCATATATTTTTTAAATAGAAATTAGACATGCTTTTAATATTTTTTTCTCTACATTTATATATTTTGTACATTTATTGAAGTAGTTTAAATTTTGTAAGATAAAAGCATGTTTGTATTATTTTAATAAATTGTTACTGGCATACGAATTATTTTGTAGAACTCGTAAAACACCTTATAATATTATAAAGAATAACAAATTAAATAGGATTATCAGATAACAGAAACAATAATATTTCTCACACTAAAAATATTAATAACTATGCAATCAACTATGTTATCACAAAAACAACGATATTTCATAAAATAACGAAAAGTTAATTTTGTAAAATTTATATCTTTAAAATTAAGATGAACGCGGTAGTTAACGAAAATTTGTAGAATCTTAAACTTCTTTCTTGAAATATCTTATACTTGAATTAAAAAAGTAATTGTTAAAATTCATAAATAATTTTCTAGCTTGCCACACAGTTCGTAAATATAGTTCAAAAATTTTAAACAATCGACTAATAAAATCCATACACAAATTTCTAAATATAGAAAGACATCCCATCATGAATAAGACAAAAAGTCAAGTAAACTACGTAATAAAAATTACATAACGAAACTTACAGATTTCATACGGATGCATATAATATTATATAACTATATAAATACAAACATATTAACACTTTCAGTGTCACCAAATTATCTGGCGTGGCTTCATACAAAAATGTAGTGGCATGGAATGTGTTAACTCGTATCATAAAATATATTAACTAGGCATCAAGATATTCAATTCTATGTTGACATGAGTAATCGTATCGAAGCTTTAACGACAGATGAATGTATTTCGTCGTATCATTTTGGACTATCGATCAATCTTTACTTCTTCAGCTTTGCGTCTCGCCTTTTGTTTAATGTCCAATGAAATGTTCAACGTGAAATATGCAGAAGTTCATTCATCCGTGGCTGCTGTTGTCGTCAGGTTGAACGATCTCGTAGTACTTGTCTATGGTATAATTGAAGAGCTGGAAATCGTATCTGGAACCATAAAACATTTATTTTTAAATAGTAATACGGTTAAGATGCTATCAAGTTATTACTAAATTAGCGGTTGCCGTCGACTTCGTCAGTGTAGAATAAAAAAAGCCTATAATATGCCTGCGTACATCTGCTACCTTCTCGTCAAAGTCCGGTTAAAAACGAGCCAGGTACTCCGGAGATTACCCGGAACAAACGCTAAATTTCGGGCAGACAGGCAAAAATAAAATGTTTTTTCGTTATCAGCAACGCAAATATAAAAGTATACGATTTTTTTTTATATCGATATCGAAAAACACTTTTTCTTTAATATAATAAGAACTTTACTTGTAAAGATTATAAAGTGCATCCAGCTGCGACTTCTTTAGTCTGGAGTAGAGATGGTTGATGATGTGTAGGGTTTGTGAGCCCTTGCCGCTGTTACGCCATTCCGGCTTCACCACCTCCTGCAGCCGCGCCATCTGTATCAGGAACCTTTGGTCTTCCTGTAAAATTAAAAACAAATCATCAATTTCGATCCTTAAGTGCAAGCATCGGTGGTTCAGTGGCAGAATGCTCGCCTGCCACGCAGGCGGCCCGGGTTCGATTTCCGGCCGATGCAACTTTTTTGGCCTTATTAAATTTATAAAATACTAGCTATCGCCCGCGATTCTATCCGCGCGGAATTAAAAAAAACTTAATTAGTAGCCTATGTGTTCTTCCAGATTATATTCTATACCTTCGACATATTCAGCCGTTCTGAAAATACCTTCAAACAAACATCCATCCAAAAATTCTCATTTATAATATTAGTAAGAAGTAAGAAGGTTGTATGTCGGTTTTTCTATCGTAGGTACTAATCTATCTAGATATATAAAAATCAATTGCTGTTCGTTAGTCGCGCTTAAACTCGAGAACGGCTGAACGGATTTATTTTATCTTGGTGAGAAAATTTGAATAACTAATTAAGTTTTTTTTTTCATTCCAAGCGGACAGACTCGCGGGCGATAGCTTGTATTCAATAAAAATTTTAAACAGTAATGGAAATTAAATATCTACAATAATAGTCATATAAATTATTACGAATTACGATCTCTTTATTTTATTCAAAACAACATACATATGTGCACATAAAATGTTTTCAAGTGATACGAAGTATTGATCACATCGCGTGACATGAAAAATTAGTTCAGTGAAGTAATAATTACCGATGCCACTTTCTACAAAGAAAAAATAGGTACGAATAACATTTTACACAAAGCAAAGCATACTTTTTTCCATTTAACATAACCTTTATTATAAAAACGACTATCATCTTTAAGGATTTGGATGGAATTATTATATTCTCCTTTCTTTTGTAATTTTAATTAGCTATTAAAATGTTATAGTAAAGTTTCTAGAAAAGCTATAAACCGTTTGTTAAGTTATCGAGATTTTGAATGGTTACTAGCTGACTAAAACGACATTCACGCGGAATTAAAAACAAAAAAACTGAATTAGTGACCTATGGGTTTTTCCAGACTATGCTCTACATATACGCATGTCACCGTCGAGCTCCGTGGAAGCATTCTGGTAACTTAAACTTTCGCTATTTTTATATTAATTATAAGTAAGACAAGATTAAAATACCTTCAAAAGAAGTAGTCGTAGAGTAACATTATAGATTCTAGATATTAAACTTTTAAGCTAAAAGTAGAGGAAAATAAACTTTCAAGAATGAAGACATTGACAATGGTTTGAATATTGTGTTAGTCGAAACTACCCCCGAAAGTCATTTTAGGAAAAACATATATACAATTCTAGTTATGTAACAGTCTATTAGTTAGGTTTCGATATAATGAAAAATGTGTACGCTGTCCTCGATTACATATATAGTAAGTAGACATATAAAACATAGCTGGTAATATTAATAAACATCATAACGGACGTAGAGTCGTTACGTTTGATGACGTGATCATTACAAATGGTTTGCAATACTTATATTTCATAGTTCATATTCAGCTGTTCTAAGCTAATATGAATTACGTAATACTAGTCATGGGTAACTGAACTAAAGCTTTATTTAGGTACAAATTTTTTGATCCTAAATAGAGCTATGATTTGCGTATCAAGCTGACCAACCAGTCATTATTTATCTATGGTATTGTCTATCGATATCTTTATAGCATGTTATACTCTATCAAAATAATGTATTTCATCTTATACTATAAATGCAAAAGTGTTAATGGATAGATGCTTGTTAGAAAGTATCTCCAGAACTGCTGCATGGATATCGCTGAAATTCGTCATAGATATCTGGACAGCATAGGCTACTAATTAAGTTTTTTTTTAAATTCCGCACAGATGGAATTGCGGGCCACTGCAAGTGGTGATGTAAACAAGACTAAATAACGTGGTCTTCACGTTAAATACCACATTAAAAAAATCTAACGCGTTATCTTAGTCCCGAATTATGATCGTGTTACCATACCGCGGATAACTAGTAATAAACACAGTATTACAGGTAATATCTCTCCCAAGTTCTTGAGGAAGGCTATTAACTTATTAGTTTAAATCCTTTTGCTCTTAAAGTATTGAAATAATTAATAAAATAAGATATAATACGTACGTCGAGAGTTTCAAACTTGAGTATGACGTCGAAGTTGAACTTGCAAGGAGTGCAAAACGCGGTGTAGGGAGTCCAGTGCATGTCAAGCGGTCGCTTCGCGCGAGCCTCGTCCACCACGTATGATACGAACTCCTCAAACATGGGGTAACGCTCCTTTGGCGGTGGCGGCTTCTCTGCTGATATCTGCAATACAACATACACTGTTATACATCAACCTGCTCTTTTCCTCGTCGGGTCGGGTCGAGGGTCGGCACAATATGTACCACACCTCCTCTCTATCAGCCGTCATATCTGAATTTACCCTTCTACCTTCCTACGCATCTCCTCTTTCACACAATCCATTCATACTTTATTTTGTAATTTTCTACCTTTGTAGCCATCCACGTTCAATCTCATTACTTTTTTGCTTATATCACCGTCATCCCTCCGCATAACATGTCCAAAACACGCTCACCTTTTACTCCTCAATTTCTCGATTTCTGGCGCTACTTACAAACTTTCTCTAATATACACATTCGTAACTTTATCCTTTACACAGTTATAACAATTTAAAAAATATGTACCCCTTTTTAAGGCGCGAGTTATACAAAAACGGCGTACGATGAAGACGCGACGTAGGCGCAGAGCTGGCATGGAGACGACGTGCCTGCTCCGTGGCGCTTGCGGATAATTCACATCGTGTCGAACGCCTACCTATATTTTGTATTGCAACTTTTTGAAGCGGCAAATTGCCTGCGCCTTCATCGTTCGCCGTTATTGTATAATTCGCCCCTAAGGCAATTTCGCCAACAGATGTACGTGAATGCATATTTTTAATAAAAAAAATCTTTGATAATGAAATACAAACACTTTATCTCAGAATTATTAATGGATTATGTTTTAACCCGTGTTTTATCTTTAGTAGGTATGTCACGTTGAATGGTTCTTACATTAGAGAAAGGCTGTTGGGTGTTGGGAGGTCACATGGAAGACGTAACGCCCTCTTGCGACATCGACTATTTTTATTGCTCGCACACATGTATGGAAAGCGATATTCGATTGATGTTTTTTGTATTTTTAAATGTTCTGTTTATGTTTAAATCGAATAATAATGGAAAACAAAACATACATTTTCAATGTTAAAACGTTGGTTTGAAATAAAAATAAATTAAACGAAACAAAATCTAACGACAAAATTAAATGATGAACAAAACGACCGCCATTGCGTTTTTTTTTTAGGGATAATATATATTATAATATCAAAAACCAGGATTATAAAAATTAAAAAAACTATTAATATCATTTTTAAGTTTGTCTAATTTGAATTGATTACCTTTCTATATTTCCGTACGATCCTGTGACCCATTTTATCGTGGAATGATTTTGGCCACGCGTGAACAATTTTATCATTGTAAGCTGACGCCAACCTTTCTAAAGGATGTCGCACTATGAGGAAAGTTATAGAATCCGATTGCGCTTTCTTCAACATTTCTACCGATGGTCTGACGTACTTCTTTCTTGCCAGTTCCAATGGAACCTCTTTAGTCTTATCCAAGAATGCAGCTGAATAGTTCGCCATAAGATTGAAGTTGTACATCCACGATGTAGAAGCCGCTTTGAATATGTTGCACCTGAGAACAAACAGACTTTTAATATAGATTAAAGTATAATATATCAGCTCACTATACGTCCCCATTGAGGGGCTCGGAGCCTACCCTAAGTTAAGGGTGATTAGGCCATACTCAACCACGCTGGCCAAGTGCGGGTTGGTTGACTTCACACATATCTTTGAATTTCTTCTCAGATATTTGCAGGTTGCATCACGATGTTTTCCTTCGCCTTAAGAACGTCGGATAAATGTACTTATGTAAATCGGAAATTGTAAAACACATTGGTGGGACACACAAAGGAGGGAGGATCTGCAGATTGCAAGTCAAGTGCTCGACCCCTGAGCCTCCGACGCTCTAGTATAAAAGTATACATTCTAAATTAAAATGAACCAAAAATATGTCTTGTAAAAGTCATTTAAACTATGAAAAATTAATTATGCAACATTGAACTAGTCTTATGCAAAACCGGGCACCAGACTAGTATGTAAATATTGTTTATATGTAGTAAATTTAAGTCAAAGGCTAACATTATGCAATATGTGTCAAACCACCAAACATGTTTGTATATTAAATTGTTAAATGTTATTTGAATATTTGTTAGAGTTAGCGTTGCATATTAACCTTGTTTTCATAACTTCAACTTGAATAAACTTAAAGCAAAAACTTAATAAATCCAAGACTTTATATTAAATGAATACGGAACGATTTAACTGTCGTATGATCGTCTGGTGACGGCAACGACTAATTTCTGATCCGTCGGGGGTCCATCTTCGAAACTAGTCGGTTCTTACGTGATTTAAGTTATACTCATTATTGTAATAATTCCTGTTATATAAAACAACGTATATTTTATAAACGTATTTCTCAGATAATTAAATTAATGACATGGAGAGTAAGTAGTAATTATTATTACAAACAGCAAACGAGCCTTGTAACATTGTTTACAAGCTACTTGTATTATATTGATGTCTCTTCCTTCCATATATCTTGTATGAATCTCAATATTTAACCTTAATACGATCCGAGCGTCGGTGCTGCACTTGACATGCAATCTGCAGGTCCTGGGTTCGAATCCCGTCATGTACCAATATGTTTTTCGATTTCCGATTTACATACGTACATTTATCCGACGTTCTTACGGTGAAGGAAAACATCGTGATGCAACCTGCACATATCTGAGAAGAAATTCAAAGATATGTTGAAGTCAACCAACCTGCACTTGACCAGCGTGGTTGACTATGGCCTAATCACCCTTAACTTAGGTAGTCTCCGAGCTCCTCGGTGGGGACGTTTAGTGAGCTGATGATGATAACGATCCGTTTAATGAATACAATCCATACTAATATAATAAATGCGAAAGTAATTCTGTTTGTCTGTCTATCATTCTTTCACGCAAAAACTACTGAGCCGTTTTGAAATAAATTTGGTACACAGATAGTGTAGAGCATGTGAAAGGACATAGGCTACTTTATAATGCAAAAAAGGGGTTGTAAGGGGTTGAAAAAGGGGTTTCAATTTGTATGAAAATATCGTCATTTTTACAGATAGAAGCTTAAAACTTATAGGCTGGTAATTTAATATAAATATGACATTAAATTTTTGTAAAAATGTTACCCTCAAGGGTGCAAAATAACCTATATCCCTATTATTATTAGAATATGTGCGGTTTATGTAAGTATTTTTAATATATTTTGTCGTTATGTACTATAAGTGTAAGTAAAATAAGTAGCCTGAATAATAAAAATGCTACCCAAAGACAAAATTCAACGTGGAGAAAGTCGCGGGCGCAGCTAGTAAGAATTAAAAACGTAGTAATTCAAACATCAAAGATGTAACACTAACATTAAGTCTGATTTGCTTTGAGCTGTAAATATTTATACAAGTGTTTGCTGACCTATCAATTGACGGTAATAAGACAATCCAACTGTGTTTACTCATAGTTAAAATTAGAATTAACAATTCGCTGAACAAACGTAAATATCATTGCATTCCTTGTCAGTAATTTGGTTAATTATAAAATTGGGTACACGATTCATTGTTTATTTTCAAGAACCATTTAAAATAAACCGAATGAATAATAGTAACGTACTACTTAATACCAAACTTAACATATAATCTTGACTAATCTTACTAATAGTTTATAAATTATCATAGTTTGGATGGATGGATGAATTTATGATACCAAATTACTTGTTTATTTATTTATTTAGGATTGCCAACAAATGTGTTGCATATCATTATATATATAGTATATAAGTACATACATAACACCAGAACCGCAGAACGAATCTGGATGATATTTGGAGCAGAGATATTTATAGTCTGCAATAAGTATAGGCTAGTAAGTCAAATTCTTTTTAATTTCCTGCATACGAAGTCTTCGGCCACACGCTTCGTCGGGATTCCAGTCATATTCCCAGGGAGGCTCTGGAGTGGATCCCGCTAGGAACAAGAAGACATGCCGTCCTAAAAAGACTTAGCGGCGCTCAGTAGCTGCCGACCTGAAGGCAATCGGGCTGACACGGCCCGAGACCGAACGCAGAGCCCAAGATAGAGCGAATTGGCGGCGCACTGTGGACGCCCTCAACCCCACTACGGGGACATAGGACTTTAAGAAGAAGAAAATGATAAGAAGTCTTGGACGACGGCTAGTATCTTACCATATAACATGATACTGCCTATTTATGAGATATTCCCATGAATAGGCCTTGTAGCTGGAGCTATCCAGGCCTAGCTTGGAGCACTGGTCCCTGAGGGCGTCGCGGCGGGCCTCCATCCTCGCTCCGACCTCCAGAAACTTCTCCCTCGATAGCAGCTCATCGTGCGTCCCGTTCTCGAACACATACTGGAACAAGATATTAAAAGAAAGTGGTTAAACATTTTGCTATAAATAATCATAAAAGACAAGATTAGTCAAATGAGCAACTAGTTTCGTTGTACTCAAACCTATTTGTTATGTTTTTGAACCGACATCGTTTTTTAATTAGGTTATATTGACTACAATCTTACATAATTTTAGGTATTTACGTAGTCCAATTATCTCTAGAGCTAAGATCAAAGAGTTAATACCTACTGTTTATTTCGGTGATTACTTTTTTTGGAAAAAAAAAATATTGTGGCTTTTGGCTATAATTTGTTAGTTTATTGAAGAATATTCTTTGTTTTAGCTTTAGCTATGTTTGTAACATCGTTTTCTAAATGATGTTTACGTAATTGTAAGACTGACTTAATTTACATAATTTGCATAAGCGTTTGAATCTGTCTTGAGAGACCTTGACTTGGAAATAAATTGATTTATTCAAAACTTTCATTATTAAAAAGCAAATAAATTGTTTTATTCAAGTTAATATAATTTTATAGCCATAATACAAATATAGTTTTTATAAATACTTACAAGATACACTTACCATGAGTTTCTGAGACCGAAATCTCTATAATTTGTGACAAAACAGAGATAATAATATGTTTTAAATAGCGAGTTTGATGTCAGAAAGTAATAGTTAGTACTATTTGTTTTTATTAATCTGTTTTCAAAAATAAGGTGAAGTTATATAAAGTAACAAAAAATTAAAATACTTAATTTGATGTACGCGCGTAAAAGTGACAGGCCTTTCATCGAATTAACTAATCTGAAAACTAATTATAAAATTACACATCCACTAATTAATATGTTAGTTAAAATAATTGCGTATTACTGATGAGCAATTCTTATGACCGAGTGACCAGAGAAAGTGAACCGTATATTGTACATTTGCACGTCGTACCAAGAACTTAAACATACGCTTAGAAAGTTTCGTATTCCAACCGTGAATTTGCATTTAAATGCAAGGAAAGTTAACAATATGTTAAGATAAAATTGACGTTTTTAAAGAATAATACAAATATTCTAGAAATACTACTACTAATATACACTGGAGTCTGTCGGGTAAACTTAGGCAGAATTTGGCCAGCGCCCTGGTCGTATTTTCTATTGAATATTTGACATGCCTTTAGTCATGTCACAGTTCTTCATGATACTATGTAATTTGCCCGTTATGTCCAGCGCCCTGGACGATGGAAAAACTATGCTCACTCTTACGCCGGTAGTGAGGGCCTATTACTAATATTTGCGACAATCGCCATAGTTTCGTGATCGCCAGTGATAATTGTACAGCGTCTTTATCTGGGGTAAAGTACACTAAAAAAGTCATACTAACTTTGACGTTATTTACAATACGATATGTTGGCGCTTGTAGCGAATATTCGTGGCAGTCCACTGATAGTAGGTTTGTTTTAGGTAAGTTAAATGCATGATTTTCTTAGACTTTTCCACTATTTCTTTGTCTCCTGATAAATTATTACAATTATTTTTATTTTATATATGTTTCTTCTTTGCATTTAGTAGATACTGGCCTTGAATGAATATTATATACGCGAGATCTTTTTCCTTAAGTCACCGACAAAAATTCGACGTACAAATTTTGAAATTTTTTGACGATAACTTTATGAAGGCGCGTGTCGCTAATATTCGTACTAAGTCCTTTGAAAAGTTTTTTGGAAAAGGAAAGTGAGTTTATAGTAATTACAACTTACTTTATGTTTAAATCCGTCATTTGTTTTGCATGTTACTGTCACATAAGTGTCGTACATTGAATAAATAAGCACGCAACATTATTGTCGTCGACAGTCGCATGTTACTTAACAATATGTCTGAAGTATAAGAGTTGCATAGATCACGCTTCATTTTTGCGTTGCATATTCCAATTAATTCTAGACTATTTGAAGTATTATCTATCAAAACCTAAACCACAAAATGAGTTTTGTTTGGAGGGTCGATTATCATATGTAATTAACACTAAACTACACATAAATAAAATCAAATAACCTTAAAATGTATGCAATAGTTATCATCTCTTGTAATAAGTGACATGGATGGATGAATGTTTGTTTGAAGGTATCCCCAAAAAGGGGAAACAGATGTGAGTGAAATTTGTCATACATATAGAACATAGTCTGAAAGAACACATAGGATACTAATTCTGTTTATTTTTAATTCCGCGCAGACGGAGTCGCGGGCGACAGCTATTATATATTAAATGCGGATGTTTAGATAATTGGATAGAAATTTTTTAGAAGGTATCTGAGGAACGGCTCAACGGATCTTGATGAAATTTGGCACAAAACATACTCTGGAAGAACACATAGGCTACTTATTAAGTTTTCCTTAAAGCCTTGCGGGCGGAGTCGCGGGCGACAGCTAGTTATTTATTAACTTACTGTCTTTTTTCCAACGGCACAGCGTGTTTTATTTATAGTTCATTCGATAGACATAGTTCACGTCTACAATATTGATCGTGGAAGGAATCGCCTTTACTCAATTAACTCGGAGCGAGCGAATCGATTTACTTCCAATAGCTTATTAACGACTACCCAAATTTAATAGATCAATGCTTTGACATACTCAACTTACATCACCTCAAGATCATCCTTCGATTTTCATTGCCAGCAAATACAATGTACTCATAAAAATAGTTTACCAGTTGTATGTTAATATAATAGCCTATATTTCTGGCAAGGTCTGAATACATTTGAAGGTCCCACATCAATCATAACCCTGACATGACTCGCAGTAAGATATAGTACTATGCAAACCTTATGGCGGCTTGGAATTTCGCACGAGACTATAACTCGGAACAAAATTTAAAGTGTGGTGTGTAGGCAGGAACAAAGCTAAGCGAACATGAAACGAACTAAATTAAACTGCGCATTCTCTGCACATTTGTCACATGCTACGTCCGCGTGGGATCCTTAGGGATCGGTATGTCGGGGCTGGGCATACCTTTACATCTTATTCTTCTATCGAACTAAGCAAAAGTACGCTCGGAACTAACTGCGAGCCTCCAAAAAGTTTGATTTTTGTTATACTATTAGTATTATTAACAGACACACCTTTCATGTCGACAATATCTTTCGCAAAAAACGAAGGATTAGCTGTCAATGGTGTTAGGGCGCAGTTTCGTTATAACATTTGATTTAATATTGTTGAACTGTTCACATTATACTCTGTGTTATAGAATAACTCGTAAAAGCTGATGTGAAATCTCCATATAGACATCTTTATCATTATGTATTGTACATAATACGTAAGAAATCGTACATAAGAGTTTTCCCGGTTACACGACACTTGTAAAAAGGAAAGTAGCCGAACAACTTTACGACAGTAATGTGACGAGAGTTAGAATCTTTAATACGTATTCGGATTTCCGTAAACAAGATTTTCGATATTAATACGATATTTTTCAATCCACAAATATAGTAAATAAGCATCATAATTTGTACATAAGTGTAATATAATTATGTACATATATACATTGATATAATAAATTGCTATTTGATACGAAACACATTTTCGGGTTAGAGACAAAAGTTGCATTTGTTTTATTTCAATTTTAGTAATCTTATTTTAGGTATATGTCTTATACAGTTAAGTCAAAAAGGCATTAAAAATAATCACAGATAGTATTAACTTAAAAATGCAATCTTACTAATATAATAAATGCGAATGTTTGGATAGATGGATGGATGTTAGAAAGTGTCTTCGGAACCGATAAATTAGTAGCCTATGTGTTCTTCCAGACTGTTCTACATCTGCCAAATTTCATCGAGATTCGTTTAGCCGTTCTGGTGATACCTTCAAACAAACATCCATCAATCTAAACATTAGCATTTATATTAGTAAGATTTTTAATCCTGTCATTCACGGTCAGTTCTATTATACTACTCAATGATTGTTGATTTTAAATATTATACAATCTTGTCACTTATCACTTCATACAAATTTAACATTCTCAGCACGAACAGATAATTGAATACTGACGTGCTGTGTAGTTAATCCGTAGCCAGGGATCTGTTTGAAACGATCTTTCCTTAAACAAAGCCGCCGTCTATGCAGACTTCGTGACCTGAATATTCAAACACAATAGAAGCATCGATGTCTATCGTACTCGAAATTTGATATTAATCTTACGTTTTATGCAGAATGTGACGTGAGATATCAAAAGGACTAGGTCATTTGCTTTTAACTAGGACACGAATATTCTAGTTTAAGATTTGGACGGGTTTTTATAGGATAAATTTGCAAACGAAGTTATATTTATTAATCTGATATTTTGACAAAAATGATGAGATATACAGTTGAAAATACGTATTTTTAAAAAGTACTTAATTTTAAAATTGTCAACTTTATGAATCTTGTTATTATGTATATTATACCTACTTTATGCATACATGGGAACCGGTCTCAAACTATTAACCGGGTTTTATATTTGCGGTTTGAACTCATTTATAGAGTTGCCATTTTGGTGCATGTTCCAAACGAACAACTTTAAAACAAAAACAAACATTTTTAAATGAAAACAATCAAGCTCTTTAATTTTTTTCTAGCCAGCTTGTTTTGATTACGGATTTGTTTATTTTACTATTGCATCTTGTAGTGTCCTGTAGCTTTTATAAAGAAAAGAAGATGTAAGATAATCTTATGAAAGGTCAAAAACATATCTCTACTTAAAACTGTGAAGTCCGATAAAAAAAGTTTTATGACATCAGTTTACTTGAGTGTAACTAGGGCTGCCAATTTTCAATTTTGATAAATATTATTTAATTCATACTTAGGCTAAGGATTGGACAATATATCTACCTACAGTTGTGTGAAAGTGTAAATAAAACGTTATGATTTTCGACATCCACCAACGAATGATTGTTGAGAAGAAGTCATGGGTGTTTTTTCTCGCTGCTAGCCTTCGAGTCTACTTGATAGTTGGCAGCCCTAAGTGTAACAGATAACCTGAGGGACCTATCGGCTGCGCT